GCCGCTCACGTCCGTAGACATGGTGTAACATTGGTTTTGCTTTGTTTCACAGAACTAATCGTTGCCTGGGTTGCGTACGTATATGTGGGGCGGAGCTATCAAAATAGGGGCGAGACCCTTTTGGTGTAGGGGCGTGTTTGTTTTGGTGATTTCAAATATGGACATTGGCTACCAGAAATCACTTACTCTGCCTTTAACTTTTATAAAGAATATCTCTTTGGATTTGAGACTTTAGTCTTTGCAACTTTACAGATCTTCTTTATGCACCAAGAGCTTGTAACACTTCAAAGAGAAAGGAAAAATTGAAATCACATCATATGACCCCTTTAATATATACACTACTGTTCAAAAAGGGTACGATTTGTTTTTTTAAACAAAAGAAAAAGAAAGAAAGAAATTAAACACTGTTATTCAGCAAGGAAGAATTAAATTGGTCAAAAGTGACAGTAAAGACATTTGTTACAAAAGATTTCTGTTTCAAATAAATGCTTTGTATTCCTCAAAGGATCCGGAAGAAAATGCATCACAGTTTTCATAAAAAATATTAAGCAGCACAACTGTTTTCAACATTAATAATAATAAGAAATATTCTTAAGCAGCAAATCAGCATATTAGAATTATTTCTGATGAATCATGTGAAACCAAAGACTGGAACAATGATGCTGAAAATTCAGCTTTGCCATCACAGGAATCAATTTTAAAATATCTTAAAAAAGGAAAGCATTTGAAAAAATTGTAATGCTATTTCACAATATTACTGTTAAATGCAGCCTTGGTGAGCATAAGAAACTTCCCTCAAAAGCACTCAAAATTGTATAGTTTGTATGTATGTGTATGTATGTAATATGAATATATATAAATTATCCTGCACTTACCACCAAATATCACAGTAACGAACATCTCAGTTTTAAGATGTGTTTACTGTCTCAGCAGCCTGCAGTAATGAACGTGTCTGTTCACACAGTAGGAAAATAAAAGGTAGTTAAATGTTGTTGACGACAGCCATACCTAGAGACAAAGCCCCGGTTTATGAGGATTGCTGTAAAGTTCTACAGGACTGAATGTAATTGGCAGACTAGACTCAATGTAATCAGAATATTATCCTGCTGTGCCACCACTGAACTATGGATGAACTCCCCTCCTGGACTAGAATTTGCATTACATAAACAGCAGCATATTACCAGGCTACATTTTTCACTCACTACTCACAGTTTTTTTTCTGTCTCTCTCTCTGTAACCCCTTTGAAAAGAGAAGAGAGAAATAACTCTTTTTTTATGAAGCAGACCAGTCTGATTTGTCTCCATGGAGGTAGTACACAGACAGACAGGTTCTTTGAGACTTTGAAGTACTTATCCGGGACATGTCTAGCTGAGTGGGGAACATATCTATAGTCTTTTTCCCATGACTTTAAACGCAACTGTAAGAGAACAGCACAAGTCCGTCCCAGTTGTGGCTATTTCAGTACTAACTTGGGAAAAAAGCTGTGCCATAAGAAATGAGTCTTGAATGACTAAGAGGTTAGCAAACTTCATTCATTTAAATGTCTGATGAAGTTTTGTCCCTGTACTTTAAACCACATGAATCGTGGTTTGAGTACAAGCTCATTTTGGAAGTGAATTATAAAGATAATGTAATATATATAAAAAAATTAACTTTTATAATGTAATAACAAATAACACAATTTTTCTATTTCATAAATGCTGTTAGCTTGAACTTTCCATTCATTAAAAAATCCAAACAAATGTATCATGTTTCTACAAAAATATTAGGCTGCACAAAAATGATAATCAGAAATATTTCTTGAGCAGCAAATCAGCATAGGATCATGTGACACTGAAGACTGGAGTAATGGCTGCTGAAAATTCAGCTCTGCCATCACAAGAATAAAGCACATTTTAAAATATATTCAAATAGAAAACTGTTATTTAAAACTGTAATTATATTTCACAATATTTCCATTTAAATGTATTTTGATCAAATAAATATATATATTTTTTAATCTTTACCTCAAACTTTTGAACAGTATTGTAAATGCATTATAAAAACACCCAATTGTATCATAAAATATATTAGTTTACATGTTTTTTTCCCACCACACTTTTAAAATTAATTAAAATATATTTTTAGTCATCTTGAGGCCCCTTTAATTGGGAGCTGAGGAGCCCTAGTGGGCCCCAGGCCCTCTGGTTGAGAACCGCTGTTTTATAGCACCATTGCTGATACACAATCCTGTAAATCTTGCCAGAATAACAGCCGATGAGGCACAGACAGCAACTCCATGACAACACAGGCTTGAGCAGTCATAACCTCAAATGTTAAAAAAAAATGTTATCAGTGTGTAAACATCATCAGCTTCATCAACAGGTCTTTTCCACAAATTTAAATGTGACATGAACCTCTACGACCTTTATGTCAAATATTAGACCAATCAGCATGTTTGCTTAGTGCAGTAAAATATAGATGTGTGCCAAGGGTTACCATGTTTTATAAATATAGGGGAGACTGGAGGCAATTGTAACATTTTTTTACATTTTCCTTCATACCTCACAGACTACTTGATATACACTTGTCATCTTTTGACATAAGAAACAAATATATAGGTGCACTAATTAATAATACAATTTATATATATTTCAAAGGACAAGAATATAATATAAAATTAAATGAAAGAAGTCAGTTGCCCCCTTTGTGTGGGCGATTGTAACAGTGTCTGGAGGCAATTGTAACACTGAAAAATAAGTCATATTAACCCACTGTATCTCAAATAAAGGCATATTTCAAAGTAATCATGTTACTGCTGTAATATCCAATAATGTTGCTTAAGATTTTTTTTTGTAGATGTCAGGCATCATATGCATTCATATGCATTCAAAAAGCAAAAGTCTATTTCTATTTTTGTAGAAGACAACTATTCTAGAAGTAACTAGATTTAATTTTTTTAAAATATAATATTTAATATATTATTTAAATATATTTTATTCAAATACATAATCAACTGATGAGTCAAGAGCAGTCTTTAACCAAACTTTAATGAAATGTACAGAATATTAACATATTAACAGAATAAAAGAGCTAGGTCTATATTAGCATAGGTTGTTCATGTTAGCATACTTTTTTTTATCAATAACCTAAAGATAAAATGTAAGTTTAAATTTGCAGTCATCTGAACTTTAGAGAGCAGGCGAAAAATACTGCACATACAAAAAGTAACTTTCATACCTCAAAAGAAATGTTTCGTTAAAAAAAAAAATCTCCTGAGGTGAAATGATTATTACACTTGTTCGAGATGAATCGGCGCTTCGCAGACCGATCGGCGTATGACATCAAAGTACCGATTGGAGAACAGACGACTCGTGTGCTTTTGAATTGCTCTCGCGGTACTTTGATGTCATACGCCGATGCGGTCTGCGCAGCGCCAAAGCATCTGGAACAAGCTTGTTGTGTTCCCATTTCACAGGCAGATCGAGAATCCTGCTGAGCCAAAGTCCCTTTAAGGTATTCTATAGTCTTTCTTTGGCTGAGCCTGAGCATGTTGTAGTGTCATCATCACTCTAGCTTGTTTCTGATTGGAGGAATTGAATGTTACAACTGCCCCCTGATACAATTGAGATAGATGGTCCTGGAAAGGTCAGTGAGCTGGAACTCGAACTCGGGACGCCCGAAGCGCAACAACAGTACCTATATGTCGGTGCAGACACAAATTGCTATTGTTGGTAAGATGATCCAAAAGCTCCGCTGGCACTGGCAGACACGGAGACCAGCCCAGGAGTCATCATCAGAGTTCATTAGGAAGATGGGTGTGAATACTGCATTTTTAGACGAGGAACACGGGTACATTTAACATCATTTTGTGTCAACACACAATGAGCTTTTGTTTGAAATAACTCGAGCTGGATTACTGTAAATGTTTGGGTGTAAAAAAATTTGTGAAAAATCCGTTAGCTCAGGAGCTTTTCAGCAGTTTTTGATGTAGGCCTAGTCTGTCTACATACGATTCAATCTGAATCAGGTGTGTTTGAAGTAGGAAGATCTCTGTACCCAGATTTGTATATCTGTATATCATATGTGGAGCTCGATTCAGAAGAAAGATAATGCTACCCTAAAATAGGCTACTTTAGAAATCTCTTGAGATGCACTAGTGCACCCTTTAACCTGGAATATTTTGGGACTTTGGGAATGGGCTGGGAAAGATACAATGTTAGGATTCATAAGACCCTTCAGTGTGTGATCCAGCACAGCCTCTCCCGGGATGACTACTTCATGTCTCCATATCTGGAGACTCCTTCTTTGGAAGGAAAATCGCAAATAATTTTAAAGCCTGCACTTGAGCTATATCACACTTAGGCCAAGTTGTTTACTGATAGTTTTTATATTAAATATTAAAGCAATATTATGAGCAATAGTATTTAATATATACAACCGTTCAGTAAACATTAAGTTTTGAGTAGCTTACAGAATATTGGCCGTTTCTTCGTCTGTTCTTTCTAAACATCATCAAAAAATAGTTTCAAATGCAGCCACATCGCACGTCACAGTAGCGGTGTTTTTTTACTGAATGAATCAGTGTTTGTGAATGAATCGTTTGAGTGAACGATTCATTGACTCACTCATAAAGAGTCACTTGTCGCCCGCTATGACGTATCGATGTAACCTGTAGAAAAATACCCACAATGCACAGAGTGACCAGAATTGACAGTTGCAACTAACAGTTTAACAAGGAAAAATAGAGGACAGAAAGAAAGAAAGAAATAGTACGGTTTATATAAAGATTTCTGTTAGCTGCTGGTATTCTCTCATGACAATACTTGTTTGGTGTGAGAAATTATGATTAGGCCGCAATAGGATATTACAGTAACATCTTCATTTATTACACAAACTCTGTTAACTACATTATCTTTACAGACCTCTAATAGACAGGGATCTGTATGTGCTCAAAAGAGTGGTTTAATTTAGATAATCTTTCCACAAATAAAATAAGGCAGCAAAAATAATTTTAGTTTAAACAAATGGTCAGTCAAATGAGGTGCTTAGGAAATGTTGATTGTCTCGTGCAATGCTCTGTTAATTCTGCAAATTTTGCAACCCTTTTACCAACTTTATGTCTAAACACAGTTATTATGAAAAGTTGCAGTCAATAAGGCCAAAATAACCATTTTAAGTGAACAGGCATTCAGTGTGTTTACAATTAGCTACTTTTATGCTAGGCTACATTTATATGAGATATATAACTTATCTAATAGTTCTCAATACAAAAAGCATGTGTGCCCTTAATACAATAAAAACCGAAATAATGGGACTCAAATGCAACCTATTTGTGGAAAGTGCCTCATAGAAAACCAGAGTCAAAGAGTAACACTGCTTAAAACTTTTCACAGAGCCTACAAAATATGCAGCCAAAATACATGGCATGACTTGCAATGCTGCATGCATATGCTAGCTTTATGAAATCTTACTGACTAACTTTCATTAACATGCTCGCCCAGTTCCCAGATAGAAATCAACTAACAAATCAGTTGTCTATGGGTATTTGTGCATGTAGAAGTTTGGGTTTATGTTTGTGTTGCAGTGCAGATGCTGAGTGAGTGAAGAAAATAATCAGCAAGTGCTCCCAGTCTCAGTGCAAACCATTAAGAACTGTATTGAAAATGCTTTTTAAATTCCTGAATTTGAATTAAAGAAGCACACAGGATGTAGAATTGTAATTCAAATTTGGATTTATGAAAGTAGAATTAAAATGGAAGTGCAGTGCAGACATTAGTAACATCTTACACACACTGCTCTAAATTTAATCAATAATGTTTACCTTATGGACCATGGTGGAAGAACATTTGTTAACTCCAACCTATTATATAAATATACCATATAATCAACAGATTCAAATGTTTCAATATTTTTTTTA